AAATAATATGAAATTCAAATAAAAATAAAAACAATCCTTACTAACTGGTTTCTTACACAGATAAAGATTTTAAGTAACCCACTTTCAGATACTTAAAAATATTTATTAACCATAAATGTTTACATATCTTTGCTATAAAAAAAATATTTAGAAAAAAATGTGTTCAAAACCTTAAATTTAAGATATCTCAGTTCCATATTGAAGTAACGTAACTTTTGATCCACTTTTGTTTTCATTTATTTCAACTACGATATCAGCAACCATGCTGCTACAATTTAAAGCATTCCATAATAATTAGCATTTTCTCATGCAAGCATGATACATTTTTAGCCACATGAGAAAACATAGCTGCAAATTTACACTTAAAACATCTGCATTTTTTTCAATATCTCACAGAAAACCTATACAATAAGTTCTGTTTGTCTTTGCTGTTTGTGTATAGAGTTGCTTTGGCCACTTGCTAATTCTCCTTCTGTTTTTGCTTGTTATTCTTTAGGTCCTCCTCTCTCAGCTCTAAGTTCTCTGTAACTATCATGTACTCAGCCAGTAAGCGTTTTGCATATGAAACTTTTATTATTAACGGATCAAATATCAGTTGCTGCGAAGACAAAACTGATATTTTTTGCACCTACTATGTAAAGCTCATTGTGTAATGAAGACATCATTTTTTCATATTTTGCATTGATTCTTTCAAATATGATTTTTTCTAACATTACTTTTTCATTTCAAGAGCTAGGCTCCCTACAGGTGCCATAAATGCATGCACAAGTGCGCTTCATGATAAAATGAAATCAATAATGTAGTCTACAATGTGACTGATTGGATGTGACAAACAGATTAGTCTGAATAAAACTGTGTTTGCTGTTGTTACCATACTTTTTAAGACCAGTACTAATTTATGCAATATAAACATGAAATAATTCTTTAATAAAAATCATTAAATGCATCTACAAGCATATTATCAGAGTATACCATGTATATTTATGCTTATACTGATGGTAGTCTTTTTATTTCCATTTTAATTGTATTTTGAACATGCGCTCATTAGATAACTAAAAACTTCTAATGCTTATTTTTCAAACTCCCATAACAAGAAATTTATTATTGATTCATAAATTAGATGAATCTATGCAAAACGAATTCAACAAAATACAACTAAGGCTTTTCTGAGAGAAAAGAACTTTTCTATAAGTTTATTAAATTGTAAAAAATAATCTCATTTTAACTAACCTTATAAAAATAAAAAATTTAATAATAACTTTTGCTCTATAAAATACAAGAATTTTGTACTATGAAAATATTTGAAAAATAATGTTTAGTTAATTTCTATCCGAACAAAACATGATGGCTCCACTAAAATACATAAAGTATTTAGCTTATTGTAATCGCAATTAAAGATTATTAATAATAAAATAAAAGATGACTGGAGCAAACGGAATAACATACATAACGGCTGTACTTAAAAATATTAAGCTATTAAAATAATTAATCAAGAAGTTTTTTTATTTTTATATTATTATTATAATCCATTATTGCATGAGGCTAGACTTGCAATTGAAAATAAAAACTAATAGTGCAAAA